AAAAAACTTGTAAACTTCTTCACTGGCTGTGTTTACAGAAATCGTTTATTACAGCAGGTAAAATTCAACTTTCACCAGAGGCAAACCACTTGTTAACTAAAGTGATTGGTGGGTTTAGAACAGAACCAAGAGGAGAAACGCTTATAAAGGTAATGTTCAACAATAGTTTCTATAGTAAAGGTAATTTAATGTCTGGAGACTTTTTGGAGTAAGAGCTTTGATTTCATAAGAAGTAAATTTTTAAAAGCCTCAAAGTATCTACTGGTGAGGAATGCCATAAAAAAATAAAGAACTTGCCTAAGTCTGCTGTCCTCCAAGCCCTTCAAAAAACCTTATACCAATTCTTTTCAAACATAATAAAACTTTGTAACTGCAAAAAAACTATATGTTGATGTAAACCTTTGTCCTGAAACTCTCGATATCCTGTTCTACAGCAGACGTGACACTTAAGCTACAAATAAATAAAACATTACTGCCTTATGACTTGATGGATTATTCAGGGAGCTGGAGTGATGGAAACGTTCTGGTTACTCGGAGGAGATGACTTTGATAAGACTCAAAATGCAAGTTAAAAACTACCATCTTTTTTTACTGAACAGTAGATAGTTCCCATTTCACATCTTAAGCAATAACAGTTTTGAATAAAGACACCAACTTAATCATGAGATAGCTACGATCACATGGCTATTACAAGTTATTTTCAATGCCTTTTATGGAGACCACCTGCCGATTCATTATGGAAATTTTTTCAAAACTTATGCAGGTTATTGAACAGAAGCGGTATTTGTCAACAATTATCTCTATTTAACCGAGATGACTCATCCATTATTTGCAAATAAAAATTATTGCTATTTCCGCATGTTCCGTTACAGGATGCTATGGTAACTATATGACCCAAGGCCAAAAAAAGTGTTTTTTAATTACCTTGAGAAACCAACTATCATGAGCACAAATCTTTATCTAATTCGGACAATATAAATCAAAATCACGAAAGCTTCCTTTAAAAAGGCAGATCTTACCTACCAAAGAGCTCACTAGCCACCACTACTTCCATCTGAATTTTAAAAACACGTCCCGCTCTTCTCAAATAAAAACTCGCTGTGCAATTTCCTAACAACATTTATTTCCAAGCAGCGCTATGAACATCTCTCATTGACCACTGCCAATAAGTACAAACTTCGGGTGTTGCAAGAAGGATCTATCAAAGTCAATTCAGAGACAAATAAACTGAGCAGCGACAAGCAGATGCAAACTACACGAATTTGGACGAAAAACCTCTGAAACATGTTGCCTGTCACTCAAAAAAAAAATCATTCGCTGGTCTTTCGTAAATCCCATAATAAGTCCAGCTCAACATCCACTCTTTAGTTAATCCAGTTTGCATTATGAAGACAACTTCCAGAAAGTTCATCAAAAGCTACAACAATAAACAAAACGGCAATGCACATGAAATAAGTCTACCGCTTCACGCTCACTTTAATACATTTCCTGTTGTCTTAGACAATATTGATAGTCAAGCAAGATGAAAGCCTGAAATAGCCATAGCCTGACTTCCTAACGCAATTATTATCTAAAGCGTCAAGAAACTCAATCATCAGGTGACGATGCACAAATAAAATCTAGAAAACTTCCTTCTGGTACCTATAAACCAAATATAGGTGAAATACAATTCAAACTTCATTATCAATTAAACACGAATTACAACGTTGCAAAATGAACAATATTACTGAAAAATTAACTTGTGGTGGTGCGCACCATTCTCAAAAACATTTCAGTGTTCAAAAACATTGATTGAAAACGACGACAATGCGAAATTAAATTTGCCAACAATATGTATGTAGTCAAGAACCTACAATTTAAGATGGGGTCATGTAATATTTTTCAGTCATCTTTCCTCCTGATTGTTTTATTGACGGCATATTCAGATAACTCATGGCAATTCTTTGAACCTCATTCAATAACAAGATCAGGAGAAACACTAATCTCAAATGATTATTTTCAATAATAATAGACAGGTAAATTCAGAAAATAATTGTAAATCCAATAATTTCCAAGCAACAATGTCTCTAAGCAGCTTTCTTAAAAATTAAATATACAATGCTTAAAATGTCCTATAACAATCACCAAATGCCACGGATCCCTAACTACCATCCCAAAAGGGAAACACCGCCTTTCTATTTAACGTAGTTTGAAACGTTAGGTTTTTTAAGAAACACCAGCATCTAAGAGACCGACTGTCATACGTGAGATCTTACCTTTTTCAAAATACGATTAGTAAAATAACAAGTCACTTGACTCAAACATTTTTAAAATCACTCATAGTGGCGGAGAAGACTTTACTAACTCAACAACTCGCACACCGTCAGGACGTTTACGAAGAAAACGGAGAGTAAATGACCGTTCGTCATCACAAGCTACAGCTTCCTTGATTGCAGCTATATCCTCTTCCAACAAATCGCTACCAGCACTTAGACCCATCTCATCTAAGCTTTTGATTATACACGGTACAGCCATTGCTTCGTGGGTTCGAGTAATTTCTGACTGAAACTCATACTCTTATTATCTATAGAAAAACTAGTTGTTTAAATATCGCTTATCAAGGGCTTCCATAATCATCTAAGCTAATAACCAAAAAGATCTAGTACTGGATGTCCAAATAATAGAAGAAAGGTGACCTGATCATTAATATTCCTCAGTTCGCTTCGCGTTACATTTTCGTAGTTACCGTAGTCAATATAGTGGACCTCTACGTCAGTTTCCATTACAGCAGTTATCACAGCACGAAACATTGCTTGGAAGGCATGACAGTAAGAAAGACACAGTTTTCCTACTACCTAAAGCACTTTATTAAAACAGTGAAGAGCAAGCGTCAAACAATTACAAACTATCATCCAATCATTCTGAATTAGAGAAAAAGTATGAGTTGATAAAGAAACTTACTACTTCGTCTTCGGGTAAAATATCATCTGAATGGAGCGAGTCAAGATGTTCTACTATAAAATCAAGTATTTCATCGTTTTGAATTTGTACAAAAAATAATGGCCATTCGCTATTTGTACGGTCATCGTCACTTCTTTTCACAACATAATCTTTCCCTTCTTCAACATCCATATGAGGAATATATTCCTGAAAAACTTTTTCCAACCCGAATGAAGGCCCTTAAGCAACTAGGATTAGATAATTACGCAAAGAGTCAAAAGAAATACGAAAGTAGAATTAAATGACTGCTAACTTTTACAGTAACTGTACATCAATAGAAAACAAAAAAGTAAGTTCAACAAGAGAGCTCACAACGTAGCGTAGAGCTTTTGTCAAGCAGCCTGAACTAAACATTACGGCAGGGACACACTCCTCTTCTAAATCCAACGAGCCACGACGTCGAGCGCTGGAACTGTTAGTGTCTTTAGACTGCTTCTCTATCTAAAAAGAGAGGTTTAAGATTCAAATATATAAATTTAAAAATACAAAACCACCAAAAATTGGCAAAAAATTTAAGCTAAACAGTCAAAAAGACTATTGAGGAAAATCCACCACATCATAGTTGTAGAACCATTTCAATGCTGTACCAAAAAATCAACAGAAATTTATCAAAAACGATAAAGAAAAGTACCAAAAGTAAATAAAAAAATCCATTAAATTAAGAAATTAAACGATCTTTACTGTTTTATATAAGGAAAAACAATTCCTAAAATACTATTCGTCAAAACTATGACCACCCAATTTTAATTTTCTCCGAAAAATAACCGTTTAAAAGACTACATACATTTGGCAGCAGATTAAATCCATCGCCTGGTTCAGATTCAAAAAGATTTGCAACATCGCTCAACCCCTGTTTCAACACCCCACCAATCTCAACGTTCTGTTCTTCATCAAAATGACCAATTCTCTGCAAAGAGTTCATTAACGCCATAAATTTTAAATAAAATCTAGTTTTCAAGACAGATTAACTTTGAATGTTTTCTTCTATCCACGAACTAGCAACCAACCATTACAATTTTCATAACTGAACTTCCTTTAATGCAATTAAAACTGTCAAGATAAGAAAATCCTATATAACTAATCTCAAGTTCATATTCTTTAGAATTAACCTAACTAATCAATCTATTTAAAGTCCCTCCTCCCTGAAACTATCTATTTGGATCGTAAAACAGGCGCCACCTAAATGTCCCACTTACCCTGAGCATTTATTTTTCTAAACCTAGCGAAAAACAAATTTCTTTCTATCCCAGCTTGCAAAATTGCGTACCTTGAGTCCTTCCATTCATAACGGTGAAAACCTACTTTTTCCATAGTGCTTCTTTTCTACACCTTAGAACTTTTTTACATCCTGTGGTGCAATTACTAATTACCTATGGGTTTTTTAAAGAAACCTAAAGCAAACCAAAACATTACCTTTGCCATTTGTCGAAAAGATTTCCCAGCTGGACGTGGTGAACCCGTTCCTCGTTGGATTCTCCCACTATTGCGAAACTCTAATACTTTCCCACTTTCATTAAAAGAAGTGTTGGCCCTTTCAGCTCGCGAACCGTAAGAAAATGCTAAACTGGGAATAAATCTGCTAGAAGATGAGTGACCAACAAAGAAGTAGAAATTTGCAATTTAGAACTCACTTTTCGTATTAAGCTTAAAAGAAGTTGAGTGGTAAGCTTTCCAACATACCTAACTTCTATACAAAATCGTCATATTTTTATTCAGCCAGTACAAAAGCTTCTGGTTATAGATATCCCCCAAAGAGTTTAACTTAAAAAATTGAACGAGAATTTAAAGCTACTACCATCTGTTCTCGGCTGCAACGCACCAGAAGGCTTTTTTGAAGGACTTGTTTCTAATAAAAAACGTGGTGGCTCCCCGTATTCAGGTTTTCGAGACTCCCGCGACCAGCACACAGCTAGAAACATAAAAATAACGAATAAATGATTCGGTTACTCAATGAAAATGCCCTCTACTCTAATCCCTCTATCATTTTCCTGTAAAAAATGATGAAAAACGAAAACGGAAAAAAGGTTCACCAGCGGTGAATTGCAAAAAAACAGCAAAAACACATTTTAGCTATTTAAAAGACATGAAGACTCTAAAACAGTAAAAAACTACAGAGTCGCACATTCATTATTTGTTTAAACTTTTTTGTGGAAAAACCGCTGCTTAATTATCTGTCAAAAACTAGAAGAAATATCATCAAACTTTAGCAGTAAAAATTATTGTGCATAGAAAATAATAGGTTACTTTCTCGTTTTGAGTCTATATAAGACTGATTTGGTTTCGATGATGAAACATTATTCTGTGCCGCCAATTTCTGAAATAATGAATACAGCTGTAGATTTTGAAAAAAAAACATTGTAAAGTAGAAACTTTAAAAAATTTTTTCACTGAAGTTAAGAACCACCACATAGTCGTCGGTTGAAAATCTTCCATGACTTTTGCGATTTGTAGTCCCATGATGATTGTAAACATTACCACGATAGATATTTGGCGATGTCTGACCCTGAAAAACTAAAAATCAGTAGAATTATTGAAAATAATTGCTTTTTTTCGACTCATTTACTGGCATATTACTAAAACTAGAAATTCTCTGTATTAATAATAAAGAACCACCCTCCAACCATTGAGATTAACTGATAGTGATCAAAAAATGTCATATTTTTTTTCGAATGCACTCTATGCCAGAAAGATACTTAAATTATCAAATACCAAGAATAGTGAGTGCAGAAACCCTGCTGTTAAGAAGTAACGATTCAGATGGTTATTTTGCTGGGTGAACTACACAGATACTTTTTTGTGTTTCTACTTTATTACCTACCCCGCAATTATCAGACGACTGTTTCCTCTTTGAAACAACGTTTTCAGACACTACTTGTTGCTGTTCCGCTGTATTATTCCGGACGTTCATTGTGATTGTGTCATTTGCGGATTCTCCTGCTACCGGTTCTCGCATCAACCCGTCTATGAAAGGATACTGTTGATTTGTAAACCTTAAACTCTCAAATAATTCTTTTCGACTGCCACTTCATTAAACTTGTACTTAATTACGAAAAAAAAAAAGGTTAAGTCAAGAACGAACACGTACATAGGAAAAGACGACATATTGTTGAATGGAACGTTTTGCAGCTGAGGGACCGAACTGTTTTCGACACTCTGCATCAGTTGATTTATGACAGGCATTCCAACCGGATAGTGTCCATAAGGAGGCATCATAAGAGGGAAAATCGGTGCTGCAGGGTTCCAACATGCTCCCTAACAGACGGCAAATTAATGATAATGTGGATTTTTGAAAACAGGATTATGATAGGACTTACTACGGAGGAGCGATACAATGCGCTGCTTGCTATCATATCGATCTTCTGCGAAACTTGAGCGCACTGTAGTTGGATCATCATTAACATCAGTTCTTGTTGCCTTTCCGAACTAAAAAGAAAGATGAATTGCTAATTAAAAACTACCCATTCTTCAAAAGTGACTGTTCAAATTAAAAATAACTGTAACAAACTGTTTAAAAAGCCATCAGAGAAATAAAATGCTGAAGTGTGCTAGGAAAGACGAAAGTGTGTGTAATGTATGAAGAAAGTAATGATAAGTCAGGATTTTTTCGACCAAAAGTCTCTAGTTTCACCAGTATGAAATCGCAGATGCTAAGACCTCTCTTTACTTTACTTTATTAGCTGATACTTCAATTCTTACGCTTGAAGTTCAAAAAGCTGTCGTTCCGTCCTTAAATTTTTTGTTTTTTCATCAAGTTCAGCTCTCTTCTTTTCTAAATCCTTCAGCTCTTTATATTTTCTCTCTCCGTCATCATGCTTAAAAGAATGAGTTCTTAAGCTTGTTCCAGATGCTGCTTCCGACTGCATGCAAACAAATCCCATAAATATCTCTCCATCCTTACCCGTTAAGCGCAAATCGTAATTACAGTTGTCTCTTAACTGAAACACCAACTTCCTAAAAAATCATCTGGAACTAAAACGAAATACAGCAAAAGTTGTTGCGTACAGGTAACGTTTTAAGGAATTTGAATCTAGAGGTGATGATAAACATTAATATAAACATGGAATGAATGTTAACTGAACGCTATTTAAACCTCAAAATCAAAAGAACAACATTTGCCATCCAACAAAACTCCATTTAACTGAAACTTAAATGCAGCAGCCTGTGTTTCCAATACTGGACCTGCCTGAAATCAAATGAAATAGAAATTGTTTAATATTACTGAAAACTTTATAATTTCAGAACGGTTATAGAGGAAAAAATAAGTCGCTGAGTTCCCTTCAGCATATTACTGTCGCTGCAACTTTGATTTGATTAAAAGAAAAATGAAAAACTTCAACAGCAAGAATCTCAAAAAACATTGGGGATGACTTCACAAAATGGAGACTAAAAGGTGAACCTGATTGTTCAGATCATATACCAAGAATGCACTACAATCGACTTGTTCCCCGTAATCAACCAAATACACTGTACACGATGTGCTATCACAATCAAAATTACTGGCCACACCTCTACAACGTAAGAACTCAAGAAAATACTGTGAACACACTAAATCACAATCACTTTAACCATTCGAGTAAATAAAATATGAAGAAGCCAAAAAACTTTTTGAATATAAAAAATCTTTAACAGTATTCAAATGAATAAATGAGTTACTAAGACTATAATATTTAACTATAACTAGATTATTCATAGCTTTTTAATTACCACTACTTTAAAGACTACATGTGAAAGAATCGTAAAAAATTTTGAATGACTGCAAGCACCGTTAGTGGCAGAAAGGTGATTTTGAAAAAAAATCAAGGTTTGAACCTTGGTCCTGAATTGCGATTTTCATAAAAGGGAAACAAGAATGGAAAAAAGTGGTAATCTCTTGTTAAGATTCTTTAGTACACAGGCAGAAAAAAGCAGCGAGTGCAATTAGCAGCATAAACATAGAGCGCTTTATGAACGGCAGCCCACTTTGCGCTGCAGAAGTTTCATTCTAGAAAAAAGAACACTGAGAAGCAAAATCCATCCACGAACGCAAAATGGACCAGTTTTGCAGCAACACTTGAACTCAGCTATGATTAGGCACATCGACCTCAGAAGGACACTGACTATACCGTACTTGAAAGGCATCTTGTATGAGCTTCTGTAATAAAAAAGTAGCAAAAGCGGAGCCACCCTGTCACCGTGAGGCTGTGGATCAAATGGTGACGCATTACGAGGTATCACACTTAAAAGAAGTAAAAAACATTTTTTTTTTAGATTGCCCGCCTAGCCTAGATGAAGATGATTTGTAAACGTGGAGATTTTTGGAATAACAACTTGAGGAAATCTAACCCATTCCAAACTCCGTTCAATCTTTGATATAAGCATGCTAATAAGGTTGAAAAGGCATAGTCGATTACAGCATTGCAAAAGGTTTCAGAGTGGATAAAAAAGAATCCAAGCGACAAATTTTTAAATTTCTTTGCACCGGAGAATTCAGACATTGGCAGTTTGCAAAATCCACTATATTCATCAAACTTTTATCCTTCTGATAGACCTTTCATGTTATAGATGTCAATATAAAGACAGGAACGCACAAAAGTTAAAACTAAGTCTAAGAAGTAGAATGCCATTGAAGTTTACGGTACGAAATCCGTATCAATGGCAGTATCGTGAGGAATGATGCTGGCAGTTTTCACTCCCAAACACGGAGTTTCTGATTACAGTTATAACTTTAGAAATTAGTCAATTGAAAGCGCAGCAGCTTTTGTTTGGGCGTAATAAAATGACCAATTGACAAAACCGTTACTTGACTTAATTGCTACACTTCCATTAAGTGACTATTTATGTAAGCAGAAATGTACATATAAAAGACTCTCACCTGTAAAGTCTTGGATTAGAACGGCGCTGCTTGTCGTCCGAGAACTGTCTTACTACGCGAGCTAAACAGGGAATCTTTTGATCTGAAGTTTGAAATAGTATAGTCGAAATGCGAGCTGACGGGCGCGTGATGTGCTAAAAAATTTTAGTGATTGGAAAAATTTATTACATCAAAAGTTACTAGAATGTTATTCAAAAATAATTTTAATCAGCAAAGTCATTAGAGAGAAAAAAGTTAAATAAGAACCTCGTATAGATAGGTAAGAATTTCCACGTCACGCACCATATAAAGCTTTCTACCAATTCTACCAGTAACTCGAGCTCTTACAAGGTTAGGCAATTTACAGTCATAAGGACGGAAAGAAAACTGCGGTATATTCAAAGAAATTTCTTCATCTCCATGATGCATCATTTCTGGAGAAGAAGGTAATCCTTCCAAAGGAACTAGCTGAAATAAACAATGAGCTACAGCTGCCATATCAACGAGCGATTCTAAAACAGCTTCTGAAACGTAAGGAACAAAATATAAGACTAAAAACTTCTTCATCGCTACGTAACTCGCTGAAACACTTACATCGGAAGTGGCCCCAAACAAAGCCCGTAAAAAAGCATTGCCATGTTCCTAAAGAGTTGTTTTTATTGCTTCTAAAATAACCTTGAACTTGCACAGTTTATAACATGTAAAACAGAAGACGACTTGTCATTATTGAATAAACCGTAATCTGACACAAGAAGCATAGCTAACTGGGTTGATTATTCAAGGTAAGTAGACAAATTAATCGACAGTTAACTTCAAAAAGTATAATAAAAAGTGACTAAATGATTGAGTCACATAGTAGTGCCTCTCACAATATCTAAAAAACTAGATAGCCGGAAACCAACTGACTATTCCTTTTCCTTCATTTTTCGTTACAAAATTATCAGATGCAGGTGGTGGATAATCATCTTCTGGAGCCTTAAGTTGATCAATAATGGTTCCGTGGCCGCCATTCTGAGTCATCGCTCTTAACCAGTAATTACCCCTCTCAACACCCTGTAAAATCAAGGCTAATGAGACCCTGCATTAGCGACAATTAAAGTCTAGAAATATATATCGCGTGATCAAAAAAAAGCCACTGCAAGCAACATCGCAATGAAAAGTGCTCAATCGACCCAAGAAACCGAAAAGGTAAGCATCTTCAATAGCTTACGTGTGACATGAAATCACTAGCGAAGAAAAAAAAGTGACCCGAAACTTTTTTTAAAAAACGTATTAACATTTTATGCTGACCATTCTTCATAGAACACATTAATAACCAAAAAAATGTGATACAGTTTGAGGGAATCTTAAGCAGTTTCTTGACTTTGAACTATTTAAAAAGCACAATGACTTTTAAAGGCATACGAAGCCATTAATCCAGCCCTGATACAACCAGAAAATATCTACTCATCGATTTACTTCCCTTTTCTTTTTTTTGTTTGTTTGTTTAAACCTACAAGTATTTAATGTTATCTTAAATAATATTCAAACATCTGTGAAATAGATAATTGTTCGATGATAAAACCTGGGACCATTTGGAAGTAGTGCGGAAATGAAACAAATTATACCGTACAGCCGAAGAGTGAAGAAAGAAAAGCCTTTACAGACAACCATTCTTTATCGTGTTTTCAACCAAAAGTAAACGTCGTAGCTTTCAGCAATTTAAGACCATCTAAAACCCAGGGAAGAAGACGCTCCTTAAGATCCATACGGTGTTGATCAGCACCCAAATTAGTACTAACAACAAACAATTAGCTGACTTTTTTCTAATTCTAATTCATATACTGCATCTGAACTACTTTTATTTCCATTGTGTTTTGCAGTCAGAGTCAAATGTGTTACATTACTGTTTTTGGTCCCGCCAGGAATACCTTCAACAAATCGCTAATTTAAAAGAAAAAGAACACTTTTTCGACTAGCGACTTACTGTTTTAGCACTGGAACTATTTGAAGGCATA